GAGAAATCTCACCGGGACTACAGGTTCTGGAGACAGACCCAGCAAGGGGACAGAAAGGAATAAAAATCTAAAAGAGGGTCTAAACCTTATGTACTCTACACAGAAAAGTTTGGCAAGAGCTCCATTTAAAAAAATATATGTTGACTGGAGTTGTACAACATACTTTAAATGGAGGTATAGTACCAAAAGAGGAACTGATGTGTCACTCCGAATACACTACATACTCTATTTATAACATATAGCACTTTCTAGATGGTGTGACCATGTGACAACTAGGGATGAGCTAAACTGGGAGTTCTTTGCTTCGCTGAATGCAATTGAGTCAATAAGGAAGAAAAATGTAATTGGTTTTTTAAGTGGAAATATACTCAAAAAGTGAAGATTTGTCATTTTATAGGGAACATTTAGGCTAGGTTCACACTTATGCAGGTTACAGTTGATGCATTTTTTTCACACATGTTTTGACATGTTTTGAATAAGTTTTTTATGCATTTTGCGTTTTTGGGATGTGTTTAATATTGCTAGGGGGAGGTGTCTGTTGTCATGCAGGAAATGCACCAAATACGCTTGTACATGCATTTTGAATGCATTTTTGATGCAGTTCCATTGAAGTCTATTATACTCAAAATGCAATCTGCTGCGCGGGAAAAAAAGCCCCTGACCCTTTCAAAAATCTGCACCGGCTCAAAATGCACAGATGTGAACTAGATTCATAAGAAGTCATGTTAAATGGACTGTAGTGTGTTTCTGCAAACTGGAAAATGCACTGAAATCAGCAGCAGCTACCTAAATTTCTTTTTATTTTTGTATTTTTTCAAATTTTTTTGGTTTTTACCATTGCATAGCCTGGGTATATATTTATGATTTCTTTATGAGCTTTATGTAATTAGACACTCCCAGAGGAGGAAAGGGACACGATGTGAAGAAGGGAGGGGGCTGTGCTAAGGATTCAACTCTTAGAATAGAAAATGTGTGTTGCCTGGCTGTGCAGGACTATAGAGGGACCCAATTCTCTAGCAACTCTTACGGGAGTAGTTCTACATTAATTATTATTATTACTATTATTTTTTTTATTATTATTATTATTAGAGATGAGCGAATTATTCAAAAATTCAATTCGGCTGATTCGGCGAATTTCAGGAAGAAATTCGATTCGATGCGAATTTATTCGCTATGAAGTTAACTTATAAAAAGGGTTTCTAGGCTTCAGAGAGCCTTTAAATTAGTGCAGAACACTGTACCTTTAATTTAAATGCCCTTGGAGATGAGGAAGGAAAAGGAGAAGGAGAAGGATGAGAAGAAGGAGAAGGAGAAGGATGAGAAGAAGGAGAAGGATGAAGAAGAAGGAGAAGGAGAAGGATGAGAAGAAGGAGAAGGATGAGAAGAAGGAGAAGGAGAAGGAGAAGGATGAGAAGAAGGAGAAGGAGAAGGATGAGAAGATGGAGAAGGAGAAGGATGAGAAGAAGGAGAAGGATGAGAAGAAGGAGAAGGAGAAGGATGAGAAGAAGGAGAAGGATGAGAAGAAGGAGAAGGAGAAGGATGAGAAGAAGGAGAAGGATGAGAAAAAGGAGAAGGATGAGAAGAAGGATGAGAAGAAGGATGAGAAGAAGGAGAAGGATGAGAAGAAGGATGAGAAGAAGGAGAAGGATGAGAAGAAGGAGAAGGAGAAGGATGAGAAGAAGGAGAAGGATGAGAAGAAGGAGAAGGATGGGAAGAAGGAGAAGGAGAAGGATGAGAAGAAGGAGAAGGATGAGAAGAAGGAGAAGGAGAGAAGAAGAAGGATGAGAAGAAGGAGAAGGATGAGAAGAAGGATGAGAAGAAGGAGAAGGATGAGAAGAAGGATGAGAAGAAGGAGAAGGATGAGAAGAAGGAGAAGGATGAGAAGAAGGATGAGAAGAAGGATGAGAAGAAGGAGAAGGATGAGAAGAAGGATGAGAAGAAGGAGAAGGATAAGAAGAAGGATGAGAAGAAGGAGAAGGATGAGAAGAAGGAGAAGGAGAAGGATGAGAAGAAGGAGAAGGATGAGAAGAAAGATGGAGAAGGAGAAGGATGAGAAGAAGGAGAAGGAGAAGGATGAGAAGAAGGAGAAGGAGAAGGATGAGAAGAAGGAGAAGGAGAAGGATGAGAAGAAGGAGAAGGATGAGAAGAAGGAGAAGGAGAAGGATGAGAAGAAGGAGAAGGATGAGAAGAAGGAGAAGGATGAGAAGAAGGATGAGAAGAAGGAGAAGGATGAGAAGAAGGACAGTTCTGTGACAGTTTCTGTCTATTTCTGACAGTTCTGTGACATTCACTCCATACAGCGGTTTCAACTGCTGTATGGAGGGAATGTCACAGAACTGTCAGAAATAGCCTATTTCTGACAGTTCTGGGACATTCACTCCATACAGCGGTTGAAACATTGTATCTATTTGTTTCCATAAATTACATTCTGCAGATACACTTAGAGGAGCTCTGCAGATACACTTAGAGATACACTTTTTGCCAGCTTGGAATTATTCTTATTTTCATCCTACTTCTTCATCCTCTTCTTCTTCATCATCCTCATCCTCTTCTTCTTCTTCTGAGGATGAGGATGAGGATGAAGAAGAAGAAGAAGAAGTAGGATGAAAATAAGATTAATTCCAAGCCAGGATGAGGATGAGGATGAAGAAGAAGAAGAAGAAGTAGGATGAAAATAAGATTAATTCCAAGCCGGCAAAAAGTGTATCTGCAGAGCTCCTCTAAGTGTATCTGCAGAACAGAGGAGCTCTGCAGATACACTTTTTGCCGGCTTGGAATTATTCTTATTTTCATCCTACTTCTTCTTCTTCTTCTTCATCCTCATCCTCTTCTTCTTCTTCTGAGGATGAGGATGAGGATGAAGAAGAAGAAGAAGAAGAAGAAGTAGGATGAAAATAAGAATTGCAAACCGGCAAAAAGTGTATGTGCAGAGTTCCTCTATTTCTGACAGTTCTCTGACAGCTCCTCACATGTACAGCGGTTGAAACATCTGTATCCTAAATGGAAACTAATAGATACAATGTTTCAACCGCTGTACATGTGAAGGAACTGTCAGAAAAATGTCAGAAATAGCGGAGCTCTCTGCAGGGACACTTTTGCCGGCTGATCGGGAAAAATCCGATTCGCGCGCGCACCCGAAGTAGGCAAATATTCGGATTCGACGCGAATCGAATTTTTCCTGAAATTCGTATCGAATTCCGGTTCGCCTGGTTCGATTCGCTCATCTCTAATTATTATTAAACATAACAAAATGTTTTCAGTTGTATTTTTAACAGATCGAAAAGGTGCAAAAAAGGAGAAGATGGTTTACATACCCTTTAACTGAACCAAATGTAATCTTTCTTTAGAAGAGGTGATTCTAAGGAGGGTATGATCATCATGTATAAACATAATACCAGTGCAGATAAAAACTTGGCATAAAGTTGTTAACTTTAAGGTCGTTGCAAAAGACAGGGGACACTTTTTGCACTTTAATTGGCGCATGTGTAAAGGCTTCTTTGCAGTAAGAGCTGTGAAAATGGGGAACAGACTTCCACTGAATCTAATCCTAGATGACAGTAGAATTTTTCAGAAAACAGTTGCATGCGTTTCTAAATGGATGAAATATAACTGGCTTTTAATATCTAAAGGTAATAACACTGCAGGGGGTTGATCCAGGAAACATCTAATTGCCTTTAGGGATCAGGAAAGATTTTATACCTGTTACAGCAAATTGGACCATGTTTAGAAGGGTCTTTGCCTTGTTCTGAATCAACAGCTTTAGGTTCTGATTATTTGTCTTTTGGTTGTATTTGATGGACATGTCTTTTTTTCAACCCAACTAACTGTGTAATTATAGTATTTCTTTCTGCTGTGCCATTCTCTCTTGCGCAGTCTCCACTGCTGCTGCCTCATCCCCCAGCCGTTCGCGAGATGCCAGGGGGGCAGACTGCCAGAGGCGCCATCTGCAACTTGTTGGCACTGCTTTCCACTGGGTTGTTCTCAGGGGTTGGTGCTGATTAATCAGATGGCACCGCTACCCATGAATGCAGGAACATGTGAATGTGCCATCTAGGATATAACCCTTTTATGACCAGCTGCCTCAGTATTACCCTGCCCTGTACCATTTGTGCATTTTTCAAGCTAGAAAACTTGTCCATACAACATTAATAGACTCCATTGTTAATTTATTTGATTGTTTTGGTGTTTAGAAATAACCTTTGAGAATAAAAATGAGAAAACAATTCTGACAGTGTCAGGTGTCGCACCTTTTCTGTCTCACCTTTGAATGTTAGCTACAGTCGTACCTGATTATCATAAACAATATAATAGTTAGAAAACTGTATGCTATTAAAATGCTTGTTGACCTCTGAATGAAAAAGCAACAGAGCGTATCCCCTTATCTTGTGTGCTACCCTCAAAACAAAGCACTAAGTGTGGTTTCTCTCTCCTCCCTCTCTCATTCGTCAGCAGTAGTCACTTCTGACAGGTTATAGCATCACCACAGAATTTTGGGAAATGGCCCCAGCCTCGCTCCAGCACACAGCAGGTGATTGTCAGCCTCAGCTGTGCATGTTTCCCTATGAGACTGTGTAGAGGTGGGGTTGTCCTTTCCCTCCACTCAGGTCTCAAATTACACTCAGCTCCCTGCTCTTTGCTGTGCAGTATGTGACATCAGATCCCCGCCCCCAAACTACAAGAGTTGAGAAATAGCCTGTGATCTGTGTATTTTAGAAGGGGGTAGAGAAGATAGGTCTGCAGACAAACAGGTACAACTTAATCAAGATGATTTGCTACATCTCTGTGTATCACCTGAGGCTAGTCACGTCAGTGAGTATATCTAAAAGTTTACAACCACTTTAAGATATATTTAACCCAAATCACAAAAAATATAATGGCTGGTCCTGTATTGTATAAGACAAGCAGCAAGACCAATGAGAGACCAACAAGAAGAGCAGCTTCCTGGGAATTGGTCCCCACAGCCTGAACTAGTAGAGTGACCAGGGGCAGACTGACAACTCATGGGGCCCCCGGGCAATAGGGGATCATGGGGCCCCTGTGTCCTTGCCCAAATTCAAAACACAGCAAAAATGTTTCCCTTTAAATCCTAAGGGACACTTTACACCACTGCACTGCGGGTGCAATGCATTTTGAAAAACTCCTGCTTGCTGCTTCTTCGTTTTGCTTTTCATAACTGCACCAAACATACAGCTCCCCACTGAAATGGATAGAAAACGCGTAAAAAAGCATTAAAAACGCCCCACGGTTGCATTATTGGTGCATTTTTTGAGTCACATATCTATGTATCACAATGCACGCTAGGAGTCAGGCAGTCAGAAAACACGCTGGAACACATCCAAAAATGCATATGCAGTGTGAAAGCAGCCAAGCTGAACTCCAGCCAAACAACTAAATACACAAATGCAATACATACAAGAGAGCAGGCTAACCTGCCAAAGGATTTGTATAACTGTCCATAGTTCTGCCACACAGTACAGTCACTGGAAAAGACCTGATTTTACTCTGCAACAGTTCAGTAACTGGTATAGGTCTTGTCCCTCCACCTGCCTGTGACTGAACAGTGAAAGGAGAAGCAGCACACTGATGAACGTATCCCTCTGTCACTGTGCTCTCTCCCTCTATAAGCATGCTCCTTGCACCGCAGCACAACTGACTAGTTACTTGTGTTACTTCTGCGTTTCACAGTCTGAGCTCTACTGTACAAGAGACAACTTAACACTGCTGTCATGGTTATTAAAGGGCATGAGCATCCCCCCCCCCCCTTGATTTTACTTGTTGCCAATAATGAAGAATTTTTGGCAGGTCACTGCAAATCTGCCTAAATATTGGCGTGCGCATCATTCGCACACTGTGAGAATTTTACACCGGCTTTGTGTTTTTATGACAGTTCTGGCGCTTGGCTCGATGAATCATACATATACATCGACACAGTACTGAGTGAGCACATTTCTAACAGCTCTCCCCTCTCTCGCAGTCTGCCTGCTGTTACCCATCATGCACCTCTGTGTTATTTTTATCTGTCGGTAACTGCATAATTTATGGGCTTTAAATACACACAACGCACCACACAGCGCAGAGGAGGAATTTTTTTTCCCTTTTTTCATTCACTGTCTTCCTTTTTTTTTTACATTCCTGACTCTGCCGAGCTGTAGTTATAAAAGATCCAATCAGCGGTCTTGTTCAGCAGCCGGCAACACTGCGAGACGCAGAGAGAATGTTAAGTCATCTGTAGCGCTAAATGGAACAAGTCGCAAAACAAGATGCCTGTAACAGAAACCTCTGATGGAAGCTGTCATTCTCTGCAGGGTTGCCAGCTTATCCTTTTAGAAGTGCACCCCCCAGGATTGGGAGCACATAGGGATCAGAATCTTCAACACCCAATCACTAACGTTTCATATAGGTTTCTAACATGGTCATATCCTTTAAAAAATCTAGTTAAGCCCTGGTTCACACTGATGCGGTGCGGAATTCGCAGCGTTTTCTGTGCGAATTCCGCACCGCCCCATATGGAAGAAAAATATATTTGAAATATATTTTAAAAATATTTCTTCCCAAATATATTGACACATATTTGAAATGCTACAATTTTGGCCATATTCAATATATTTTAAAATGTTTATATATATATATATATATATATATATATATATATATACACACACTGCTTGTTGAAATGCATTTTTATTACAAAATATATGAAAAATATTTGTAAAAATACATTTCAAAAATAATAAATCCAACACAACAAACACTTTACTCCTGCGCTAGGAAAGGACTCAGTAGACCCAATAGGAATGTTCTGGAATTTTCTGGAATATGCGCTGCTTGCTGCCCTCAACAGACCTGGGTGGTCCGAATACACTGGATACAAATGGAGAAACAGAAAAAGGGCGCACCGACCTAGTGCATTATTGTTTAAAATAATTTATTAAAGAAACAAAAATAGGTATCATACTCACAATGGACATAATAACACAGCCATGTCAAACTGAACAAGGTGTATGATCCAAACAACCGTTGGCTCTGAGGAAGAGGTTGTGTCCTCGAAATGCGTTAGCCAGTTGGTCATCCAGGGTTCCATCGTATGGACTCAGATGTTGTTTGGATCATACACCTTGTTCAGTTTGACATGCCTGTGTTATTATGTCCATTGTGAGTATGATACCTATTTTTGTTTCTTTAATAAATTATTTTAAACGATAATGCACTAGGTCGGTGTGCCCTTTTTCTGTTTCTCCATTTGTGTCCATTTCAAATATAATGTATGTCTTTAAAAATACAAATCTACATTTTTGGAATGCGTTTACAAATATATGTTAAAATTACTTTTTTATATGTTAAAAAAATCTGAAGAATATATTTAAAAAATATATATTTTTAAAAATATATATTTTTTTAAATATATTCCGCAGATTTTTTGTAAAAATTAAAAAGTCATTTTAACATATATTTTTACATATATTTGTAAACGCATTCCAAAAATGTAGATTTGTATTTTTAAAGACATACAGTATAGTTGAAATGTATTTGTAAAATATATTATATATATTCATATATTTTGTAATAAAAATGCATTTCAACAAGCAGTGTGTGTATATATATATATATATATATATATATATATAATATATTGAATATGGCCAAAATTGTAGCATTTCAAATATATGTCAATATATTTAGGAAGAACATTTTAAAAGTATATTTCAAATATATTTTTCTGCCATGTGGGGCATCAGAATCGCACCCCATTCATGTGAACCATTGCGGGTGTGTATGTTAAGTTAACAACAGCCCGCAAAACGCGGTGTGATGTGCAGAATCGGATCGCATAGGTGTGAACACCCATGCGATCCGATTCTAGTTCAGACCTAAAAAAGGGTCCTGCATGTTTTTGGTGCGGGTGCAGTGCAATTGGAGCCATATATAATGTGTGGCTCCAATTGCACTGCACACAAATCGCATGTGATTTGCACAGGAATGCAGTGCGGTTACTGTGCGAATCACATGGGATATGCCGCACTGCATATATGTGAACCCAGGCTCAGTCTTTTTAAATCTGCAGCTATCATTAGAATAATATCTTGTGGTCCTGCTATGAAGGTTCAGGCACTTTCTGTTATAGGGTGACAACGTTCTATTCCTGTCACCCAAAAAAAGATAAAAACAAATATTTTATTCTAAATATGTTTAAGATACACAGCACTTTAACAAAGAAAGGTCATTCAATAATGACCGGTTCATATCTGTGCAGTGCAGTTTAGATGCGTTTTACATTCGCTTTAGTTGTGTTACCATTGAACTCTATATAATGTGTGTTTTGATGAAAGTGCATCAAAGATGCAGCAAGCAGGATTTTTTTAATGCACTGCACAGGTGTGAAAGGAGTCTAATGGTGGCCTTACATGCTTCGATTCTTTTATCCAATCAATGTGCAATTCAATAAAAACAATCAAATCCACTAACGGTCAAATAGCCATAACTTCGGATTCACTGAAACTATGTCAATCCTCCAAGATGAAATATTATAACTGTATAACTTTGTATTCATCAGCAGCGCTAATTATTGATTACAATAATATTTTGATTGATCAGATTATGATGGTGGAAACAGAGATGCGATCAATAATTTACGACTGCAAGCTACAACTGCATCTTAAGGCCTCATGCACACTTGACATTTTTACAGCGGCTGTTTTTGGCTTTTGACGTTTTTTTCTACAGCTAGTAAACCCCCCAGCATGTTATCCTATGTGTCCATGCACACATAGACCATAAACATTTTTTGGCTGCAAAAAACCCAGGTCTAGTGAGTTTCTAGAGGAGTTTTTTAGCTGTAAAAACGCTAGTAGTCTTCATGCACACTGGACATTTTGATAACGCTGGTGTAACGGAACCGGACCCAGACTGTACTTGGGTATTTCCGTTATACTCCAGCTTCCCTGTCCGAACACAAATCCACGGATACCACCGCCGATCATGCAGGAAATAGACAGCACCAGACTCTTCTTAAGACAGGAAGTCAACTGCTTTATTTTTACACAAACACAAGATATATACACAGGGCGGGGAACTACAACCAGGAACAGGAAACACATCATCAGGCCCTCCCAGCAGGGAGAAGGGCTGCAGGAAACACCCCCCACCAGACCAAGACACAGAACAATGGGATGCAGCACATGACAGTGAACAATAAACAATGGACCAACCACATGGCAGTGAACAATGGACCAACCACATGGCAGTGAACAATGGACCAACCACATGGCAGTGAGCAATGGACCAACCACATGGCAGTGAACAATGGAAAACCCCCACACCAATATTAGAACATTTCACCCTGTACCCCCTAACAGGAACAGGGTGCCTTAGACATAAGAAGGATTTGGGAAGATGATACAGGGGTCCTCCCACCCCCAAAAGTCACTCCCGTCACAGCTGGTAACACTGGTTGGCGTTTAGTGGCGTTTTGCTGTATATAGCGGCGTTTTCCTGTGTTTTTCCGCATTTGATTTATTAGTGTTTTTTTGACCCAAAAAAATTATTTGTTTGGTCAAAAAAACATAAAAAAATGCCAGTTCGCAATGTTTTACCGCGTTTTGCCGTGTTTTTCAGCATTAGAGCGTTTTTACAGCTAAAAATCTAAAAACTTCTCTAGAAACACACTAGTCCTGGGTTTTTTTTCCAGCCAAAAAACGTTCCATCCAAAAAATGTTGATTACAGTCTATGTGTGCATGGACACATAGGATAACATGCTGGGGGGTTTACAAGCTGTAGAAAAAAACATCAAAAGCCAAAAACAGCCGCTGTAAAAACGGCCAGTGTGCATGAGGACTAACACTGAAAAATGCTGAAAAACGCAGTAAAACTACACAAACTGGCGTTTTTGGATGTTTTTTTACCCCCCCCCCCCCCGAAATTTTTTTTTTTTTAAATAAATGCTAAAAAACACAAATGCGAAAAAACATGGGAAAACGCAGCTAAATGCGGCAAAACGCCACTAAATGCTAGTGCAAAAATGCTAAAAAAGAGCTGAAAAACTCATGTTTTTAACGTGACTTTACACAGCTAACGTTACCAGCATTATCAAAATTCACTTCGTTGTGTGTGGTATATCGATCAAATGGAATATCGACTATAGATTATTTCTATTGAAAGAGATTGATTAAAAATAAATAAATGAATAAAAAGGGGTGATTTCTTGAAGTGTGCATGGATACCATTAGAGTTCATGTCTACTTTAATGATTACAACCATGTGGACTGGCATAGGACAGATTTCTATGATGTTAGGCTCAGTTCACAATGCTGTATGTGTTATAGGCAGCCCAGTGGCTTAGTGGTGATCTTTTCGCAGATGAGTACATTTTTCCATAGACAACAATGCACCTGTGTTCGGATCAGTAAGAAATGTTGTGTTTTTAACTCCCATGTACAAGAGTTCTAAGGCCTTGTTCATATGGGGCAATTTGATCCTTGTCCCAAGCAGGGCCATGTCTTACCGGCACAGGGAAACACTGGTTTTGCATGCTGGCAGTCCTATGACTGTCTATTGGGACACAGCAGCTGCATGGACACAGATGTTACCTCTGCACGGATGCATGGCCTTGAATGCACCCAGGGTGAGTGTGGGGACGCACATCCACACACATGTCATATTGAGAGCAGCGTCTGTGTCCGTGCAGCTACTGCATCCCAATAGACAACTACGAGACTGCCAGCATGAGGACACAGGGAACACCTGTGCATTCCAGTACGGGTAAAACATGGCCCTGCACTGGGCACTCTTCAAATCACCGCATGTAGATGAGGCCTAATGCAGGGATGAGTACAGAGCCGGAGAATAAAAAAAGAAAACTTTACGTTTCTGAGTGGAGTAATTTACGCACCTACACTTGTATACACATGCATATGTGCATATATTGCAACACTGACTACTAGAAGAGGATGAAGAAAAATTTTATGCTTGTAAAAGCAAAGTCTTTATGGAGCATTTTGCTCAGGATCCTTCTTTAGTCCGGGGTCCCACTGGATGCGATTTGCATGCCATGGGACTTGCAAATCATATGCCAAGTCGCACCTTATTGTCCGCAATTACAGCAGTCATATCAGTGTGGTTCTAACTCGGTCAGAGCCGCAACGATTTCTAAAGTAGTACATGCGCTACTTTTAGTGCGATTTGCATCTGTGTCAGATGGCTTGGAAGTTGCACCCGAAATCGGCATGTCACCTGTAAGTCGCACATTTCAAAGTTAGGTTTGATGTGACCGGTGTGTAAGTCTCCATTCACACCTATGCAGTTTGCTTTTTGCCCATTTTGCAGTGCTTTTCACAGTTCATTTTGCGTGTTTTTTTGTTCAGTTTTTTTTTTTTTTTTTAAGTGGATTTTTTTTTTTCTTGGCAGAATACAAATGCAAAACGTGGCACAACTGCGGCAAAAATGCACTACCATGCATATCAGCAGATTCTCCATTGAACTCTATTGTAGCAAAAATGCTGCTTTTTGCTTTTACAAAAAGTCCAAAAATACAGCAGCTCAAAAAAGCATAGATTTGAACAGGGGCGGACTGACAACTCATGGGGCCCCGGGCAATAGGGGATCATGGGGCCCCTGTGTCCTTGCCCAAACTCAAAAAAGCCTATGAAAAAGGTACCAGGGGCATCTCATGGGGCCCCCTACTGACCCCGAGCCCTCGGGCAGCGCCCGAGTTTCCAAATTGCATGTCAAGTCGCACCTTATTGACTGAAATTAGAGCGGTCATATTTCTAAAGTAGTCCATGCACTACTTTCGGTGCGATTTGCATAGACATCTGTGCCAGATGTCTTGTAAATTGCACCTCAAATTGCAATGACATCCCGACTTTGAAATCAGTGAAGTTGGACGATTTCAAAGTCAGGATCGAATGTGACTGGGGTGTAAATGGACTGTAGTGCGTTTCTGCCAAAAGCAAAAAAGCACTAAAAAACGCATTGGTGTGAACGGAGCCTTAAATAAGAGCATAAATATCAGTAATTATCATGTCTGCGTGCAAGAGGCCTTATGTTCAGTTAGTTCCCATCTTTTTATACTGATGACACCTTATTGAAGAAAGCCTGTACTTACATCAAGGCTTGTGAACTTTCACTGGTATTGTACAACCGGCATCTGCAGATATCTTCAAGCATCAAAAACTCTCTAGAGCCTTGCTTCTCAACCTTTATGTACCCTTTTATTACAACAAAGAATACTGCAACCCTCTGGAGTGTAATGGTTTTAAGTACTACCTAAAGTCTGTACATTTATTGCCAATGCCATTACCATTATTTCCTAGCAATCCCTAAGGACCATGTCATACTAGCCACATAGTAGCAGCGATTTGTAGCAGATTCAGATCACTCGGCTTCTTTTCTCTGATGATTTGTAGCTGGATACAAAGTTGCTGTAGCTGACTACAAGGCGTATCTATGAAGCTACAAATTGCTGGTGCACCATGGTCATCAGCAGCTGTATTGGATACAGTGAGTATATATTCAGGCTAGGTTTACACTTGTACGGTGGTTGCGGGTGCAGCACAGCATGTACACCGTACCTGTTCCCGCACCCGCAACCAAACCGCTTTGCTCTTTTGCATTCTTTTTAATTCTTACTGGCACCTCCACGCATCTGAAAACGCAGTCCGTTTTCCATTGCAGGAAATCACATGATGCCAAAGCACCATGGGATTTTCCTATGGCTGCGTTCTAAAAAAGGCGCAGGAACCTTTTACCTGCATAAAACGCTGACAAAGCAGCCCATGTCTGTGCAAACGTGGCTCGTGGCTGACTCAACACTTCTTAATTGCCTATTTCAAGTAGTGAACAGGGGCGGACTGACAACTCATAGGGCCCCCGGGCAATAGGGGATCATGGGGCCCCTGTGTCCTAGCCCACACTCGAACCACACCCAAAAAAGCCTATGAAAGGTACCAGGGGCACTTCATGGGCCCCCCTACTGACCCCGGGCCCTCGGGCAGTGCCCGGGTTCCCAAATAGTCAGTCCGCCCCTGGTAGTGAAACCCAGCAACTCTGTATGTGAATGAGTCATGACTGGTGGCAATTCTACCTGCAAATGTGGCAGCTTGTATAATAACTGCACCCCAGTTCTGGAAATGTGTAATAACGTGGCAGCTGGTTGTGTTGAATTTGTGGTTAGGGGTTGAGGGGCAGTAAAAACACAGCTCAACCACCTGTTTCTACTATCCTTTGGCCTCCAGTATAAGAGGCCTTATTATTTGGATTTACATTATGGGATGTACATACCCTCAAATTAAACCTGAGAGTGTGCACTTTCAGCCCATATCCATTATGTGACTATAGCTTGAATATGTTTTGGTAAATATCTGAAAAAAACTAAAATTGTGCCAGTGTCCAAATATATGTGGACCTAACTGTATAAAATCAATCTCTTATGTATAAACTGTTGCTGGGTTTAATTTGATTAGAAGGAGTAGAACTGGAACTGGTCATGTGTACCACTAATTGAGAAATTCAACTCTAGATTTTAAAAGGCATATTCCAACTTTTGTAAAAAAAAAAAAAAAAAAAGGATAAATGCACCCATAATGAAAAAATGTACACTCATTCATTTTTGCTTTGGAGCCTGCAAGACATTGCATATATATATATATATATATATATATATATAATTTATTTTTTTTAAATATATATATTTATAATATTATTATGATTAACAATGGGTCTTATTATGGAAGTTTTTTCACTGGACAACTGTTGCAACAGCGACACCTACAGGTCATTTGAAAAGGAATGAACAAAACACTACAGAAAAGTGACTTTGTTTAAAGTACAACTGTACTTTTTTTACGATTTTTTTTCTGGTTGTTACGTAGATTCCCCCCATCCCCTACAGATGCTGCCCACCTAGTTACATACTTACCTTCACCACGCAGCCCAGTTTCAAGCCTCTGAAAAATAAAATGGCTGCATACAGCGCCATACAGTGCATGATCACTGCAGCCCCAATTTATTCCAGTGAGAAAGCCATACTAATAGCACCCTTAAGTGATTTCTTAAGAGTTTGGCCTTCCTATAGAAATTATGTAGGCAGTGGTGCACAGTATAGACCAGTGGTCTCCAAACTTTCTAAACAAAGAGCCGGTTTAGTGTCCTTCAAACTTTAGGGGGGTCAGTGGGAGTAAAAAAAATCTTGTGTCAGTGTGAGGAATAGTGCCCCATTATTGGTGTCAGTGGGAGGTATAGTATTCCATCTTTGGTGTCAGTGGGAGGTATACTGCCCCATTGTTGGTGTCAGTGGGAGGAATAGTGCCCCATCATTGGTACCAGTGGGAGGAAAAGTGCCAGGGGAATAATGCCCCAAGGGCCAGATAAAAGGAAGCAGAGGGCCACAGTTTGGAGACCACTGGTATCAGGGCTGGTGCTAGACTATTCTGCGCCCTAGGCAAGACCAGCTACTTGCACTCCCCTTCACCTGTAGTTCTACTTCACCCCTCCTAGCACACGTCCTCTTTCCCCTCAATTTTCCACCCTAGCAAAAATCATCTCCCCCATATCCCCTCACTGTCCAATTATAGGCTGGGGACAGATCCAGGACAGGGGTGGATGACAACTCATGGGGCCCCCGGGCAATAGGGGATCATGGGGCCCCTGTGTCCTTGCCCAAACTCAAAAAAGCCTTTGAAAAAGGTACCAGGGGCATCTCATGGGGCCCCCTACTGACCCCGGGCCCTCGTGCAGTGCCCGAGTTTCCAAATGGTCAGTCCGCCCCTGATCCAGGACAACCTGGGCTCAGAGGAAGTGGAATGAATTATGCTGGACATGAGACTGAGAACATTTAGTGACAGAAAAAAACAGTGAAGAAATCTCTGAACTGAAACTGAATATTGCATTAAAAACTGGTTTTGTTATTTTATTTAATAAACTATTTATTTTTTATCTCATTTTTTAATGTTTTGTTCTACTCTAAATTCCATTTGGAAACCCACACAAATTCCATTGGTGACTGATAAATTATTTTCTGATCTTTCCTTCACTATTTATTTTCTTCTATTAAAACTCAAAACAGAAATATGTTCAGTTATACAGTGCTACAACCGTATGGGAACTTATTAAAAATTAAAAGGGTTACAGCCTGTCCAAAAAAAGGGTCTGTGCATGATGCAATTTTTCCAAAAATTTATACAAAATATAGAATATTTAAAAATGGGATTGGTTGGAATAAAACGTGTGTGGACACTCTAAATTATATCTATAGCCAAAACATGTTTTTGTTGTTTTGGATAGAATAGGTAATGATTAAGGCTCCTTCACACCAGAAGCGCTGAGCTGCATTTTTTAGCACATTAACATCTTAAAACAAATGTATTTGGATAGCGCTAGTTCACACCATCGCATTGCTTTTCATTCCAACCCACTACATTCTAGAATCCTTCAGAAGGCAGGGGGGAACAATCAAAGCTGCAGCTTGTGAAGTCCAAAACAGCCCAAAGCAATCACAAACTGCTCCACTGATTACAAAAGAGCCAAAAAGAACTTAATTTACCCAATCATCCTGGCAACCTATCTAGAAGGGTGCTACATCTGCGCGTTGTTTTCCTGTGTTATTGGGCATTGCATTAAGTTACAGTTGCAAGAAAAAGTATGTGAACCCCTTGGGATTACGTGGAGTTTTGCATGAATTGGGCATAAAAGTCACAATAGAAGAACACAGTCTGCTGAACATAATACTACACAAACATTAGATGTTGCCATGGTTTAATTGCACATAACATGTAAACATTCACAGTGCAGGGAGGAAAAAGTATGTGGACCTTTGAACTGGTTGAACTGGTTGACCCTCCTTTGGCAGCAATAACCTCAACCAAACGTTTCCTGTAGTTGCAGATCAGACCTGCACAACGATCTGGAGTAATTTTGGACCACTCCTCTTCACAAAACTGTTTCAGTGTAGCAATATTCTTGGGATGTCTGGTGTGAATCGCTCTCTTAAGGTCATGCTACAGCAGTTTCAATCGGGTTGAGGTCAGGACTCTGACTGGGCCACTCCAGAAGGCGTATTATGTGCTGTTGCAGCCATTGTTTTGTTGAATTACTTGTATGCTTTGGGTCATTGTCCTGTTGCATCACCCATCCTCTGTGGAGCTTCAGTTGGCGGACAGATGGTCGTACGTTTTCCTGCAAAATGTCTTGATAAACTCTGGAATTCATTTTCCCATCAATGACAACAATCCGTCCAGGCCTTGAGGCAGCAAAGCAGCCCCAAACCATGATGCTCCCCATGTTTTACAGTGGGGATGAGGTTTTGATGTTGGTGTGCTGTGCCTTTTTTAACTTCAAACGTGCTGCAATATTCTTTTTGGACAGCAATGGCTTTCCTCCGTGGTGTCCTCCCATGTACTCCATTCTTGTTTAATGTTTTCCTTATTGTAGATGTGTCAACAAAAATGTTAGCATGTGCCAGAGATTTCTGTAGGTCTTTAGCTGAGACTCGGGATTCTTCTTTACCTCATGCAGCATTCTGCGCTGTGCTCTTGCAGTCATTTTTACAGGACAACCACGCCTAGGGAGAGTAGCAACAGTGCTAAACTTTCTCCATTTGTATACAGTCTGTCTTACCGTGGACACATGAACATCAAGGCTTTTGGAGATAATTTTGTAACCCTTTCCAGCTTCATGCAAGTCAACAATTCTTGATCGTAGGTCTTCTGAGAGCTCTTTTTCTGCGAGGCATGGTTCACATCAGACAGTGCTTCTTGAAACCAGTAAACCCAAAACAGGTGTGTGTTTTTTTAAGGGCAGGACATCTGTCAGCAACACATCCAATATCATCACACTGATTGGAGTCAAGGTTGGCTCACTCCTGGCTCCAATTAGCTCTGGGAGAAGTCATTAAGCTAGGGCCTCACATACTTTTTCCTCCCTGCACTGTGAATGTTTACATGTTATGTGCAATTAAACCATGGCAACATCTAATGTTTGTGTAGTATTATGTTCAGCAGACTGTGTTCTTCTATTGTTGCGACTTAGGTGTCGTTCAGAGCACATTTTATGCCCAATTCATGCAAAACTCCACGTAATCCCAAGGGGTTCACATACTTTTTCTTGCAACTGTAGTTAAATCATGTGAATTGGCTGGCAATGCACCAAAATGTTGAATTAATGGTCATGCCAGTATTATTGATGACACAGCACAGCACAGCACAATACACCATAGTGTGTTGCCATGTGTTGTGGTGCTCATGTATTGGAACTGTATTGCCCTGTTGTATTGGATGTTGTATGTTTCAGTAGTGTGTGTGTTACCACAATGTACTCCAGTGGAAAAGGGCGAACCTAGGACTTAAATAATGACAGATCCACTGTAGAGGAAAGTATTCTGCTTAGTAGCAGGGGTTCTAATAAAAAAAAGGGCACAAAGGGGGTCTGCCCCAGGCAAGGACCCACCAGGACCAGGACACCAGGGACAAGGGCCCACCAGGTTGACAGACAAGACCCACCAGGTTGACCAGGACAAGGACCCACCAGGTTGACCAGGACAAGGGCCACCAGGTTGACCAGGACAGAGACCCACCAGGTTGACCAGGACAAGGGCCCACCCCAGGTTGACCAGGACAGAGACCCACCAGGTTGACCAGGACAAAGACCCACCAGGTTGACCAGGACAAAGACCGATCAGGTTGACCAGGACAAGGACCCACCAGGTTGACCAGGAAAAAGACCAACCAGGTTGACCAGGACAGGGGTTGACCCACCATGAGACTGGGACATAAAGTCTTAATGAAAGGCTATGTAGAACCTCCTATGTCAATCCCCAGGTGCTCTTATTATCCGGGGGACAAGTTGTTTTAAATCAAAAGTCCTGGCATATAATTAAATGTCACTATTTAATTCAACTACTATATAGTATAAAACCACTAATTATCATTAAAGTAAAACTAAAGTCTGTATGACAGTCCAAACAAGTGTGAAATCCATTATACCATGTGATGCAGAAGCCTCATACACTCATCAAAAAACTTACCCTCCCCCG